ATAGTGGCATTTCTAACTAACCCCGCAAACCATACTTGTTGCATTCACATGGATATGTGTGGCTTGGGTAAATAATAATTTATGCCAGACTTTTTTCCTCTTGTGACTTTAGTTTTGATATCACATCATGATTCAAAGCCCGGTGCACCATAAATTTTCTCCAAATGTGTAGTAATTCCTTGGCGCAGTCTAAAGTTATGATTCATTTATACTGGAGTGACAGCATAATACCTAGGTGTCAAAATCCATTAAAACTGTTCAATGTCTTCTGTTTATTTTTAGAACCAATTGAGACTTAACTGATGGTGAAAAATATACAGTCAAGTGTGTTTACTTCACCTTTACAAAGAATCCGTTATAGTCCCAATTAATTTGTTATTCCTGTCACAACAGGTACTGGATACTTCAAAACTGTCATTACCGTTTCTCTCTGTTTCTTTTGCCTTTTTTTTTTATATGAAGGCTTCTGTTTATTTTTAACCCATTAGTAGGTAACAGTTTATATTTTTTTGCAAAATAGGAATTTCACATCACTTTCCATTCTAATTAAAATAAATGTGATGAATAAATATGTTTCCCAATCAACTTACATTTATTCAAAATTCTCTCTGTCACAATCAGGTGTCCTAGGGCTGAGTTTAGTGACCATTTGCAGGATGATATAATTTGTGTATCACTATGATTGGCTAGACAGAAATTAAAAATATGCTATGTGCCTGTTACAAACAGCAACCAGTTCTTAGCAGAATTCAGAACATCTTTTGCCTGCTAAGTGTTAACAGCTCATTCTTGCTTATAGAAAATTCAGAACATAGTTTCATGGGGGGTAGGGAGGGGCAGAGAGAGAACCCCACAAGACCTCCATGAGATGGGCTCTAAATGTCAGAGCCAGGCACCAAAGCAAAAGTCATCAGGACAATTCTCTGCAAATAGCTGTAAACATAACTCCAAAGAAGAGTTTCTAGTGGTCATGTTAGATGAAATGCAAATGAAATACTGATGCCCAAATTGTTTTTCCAGTACTGGAACCAAGTCACACAATGTTCGGGGAAACAGCCATGTCATGAAACATGTTAGGAGCCAAATGAAGAACTGAGTGTACCTGCACGTGCTGCTCCTGGTGCTGGTGTGCACTGGGTGCTGCCTACAGCGGCCCCCATCCTGCCTGGGGAGGTGGCCCACAGCCTCCTTCCCTTCTCCCTCCCTTGCCTGGGGATTTCGGCACACGGCAGGCGCTCATCGCATCCTGCCCACCCCGGGAGCAAACAAGGGGCTCCTGGTCACTGCCCTCTGCTCCTGCAGGAAGTGGGACCCAACACTCAAAGGGGCAGGGCAGAAAAAGCACCTCACTACTCAGGACTTGTGGCTAAGGGTACCAGCCTAAAAACGAGCTAAGCATCACCTCCTCATGGGTTAAGAGCTGAGTGGGAAGGAGCTCTGGAGCATGTATTGTTGTTCATGGTTTTATAGCACTCGGGATCCTCTGCTTTGTGGCTTTTACTTCTGGAAAAACAAAACACAGGATTATAACTGAGTATGGGACTTAACATTACTTAAATGCATCACTGGTGACCCTGCTGCTGCCCCAGCAGCATGGATTGTCATTCATTTCTGAGGCATGTTAGCTCACTGAAGCAAAATGAGACATCACTTTTTTTTTATTAATCTGTTATAAGGATTTTATTGCAATTTGGATGATTATACTCTGTAGTCATAACTATGTAAAATTAAGCATAAATAGCTTAAGTGACTCAGAGGAATAGAAATTAAATAAGCCTATTGGAGTAAGTCTATCCTCCTATCATTATATTATGCTATCTACAGTATATTTTCTGGTCTTTTGACTTGTTCCGTTTTAAAAATCTCAGAAATGGGGCTTTCAGGATTTTTTTTTTACAATTGCTGCCTAACCTAATAGACCTTACACTTAGTTAATTTTTTTTAATACTTAGTTTCACTACAATTGGGTCTCTTTGATTCACCCTAAGGACCGTATCTACTTCCTGCATCCTTAATCATTCATTACACCCTTCCACTTCCTTTACCAGTTGCAAAGGCACACTCTGCCCTCTCCCAGGTTGGTGCTTTAGCTCTTGGAATACAATTTAGAGCTCTTCAGTAAGGCCATCATGTCTAAAACCTGCAGCTGTTGCTGCTAGACACCAGAATCCCAGCTCAATGAGAAAGACCTGAGCACAAAGCCATGTCTCATCTCTCCCTTCTACCTTGGACCATTTGCAGATTTCCATACTGACCTCATGCTATTGTTTCCTGCCACAGTTATAACCAAGAAAAAAAGCATTTTGGTAAGAAAATAAGTGGGGTCTCCTTTACAAAACCATCCACACTCTTTGCAGGATGAGGTTTTTATATGAATTAAATTTTTGCAAGAGATCACTTTCAGACAGTTCAGAATAACTACACAAAGTAAGGTGCAGCACTGCAGTGGGAGGAACAAGCAACGAAAGACTACAAGGGGCTGCTAATTATCAGCTTCCTCCATATTATTTCTTGTAAATTATTTGTTGCTTGGTCCAAACTAATTTTTCTGACTCCTCTACCTGTAAAAACATATCAGTTTATGCTACCAGTTTACAAAATTAGGACTCATTCCTCTGAGGCTGCCCAGAGTGACCTGACACACTGGCTTACCTCTCTTAGTCTACACTGCCTTTGTACAAGAAAATGGAACCAGCAGGAGAAAAAATTCCTCACTGCATCTAGCTGCTCTTTGTGGAAATCAAAAGGAGTAGTTTGGAATGGCTTGCATGTACAAAAGAGGCTCTTTTTTCTCCTCAAAGTCTGTACACAACTTCATGCAACACCGCAAAATCAAACAGCCAAGCACTAAAGGTTCCAGCACAACCACTGTCTCTGAGTCACCCTCTAGGGACTCAGGCCAGAAACTCACAACTTTTAAATCTAGTCGTGACCAGGAATAATGTGGCTTACACTTAATTAAAACCAACGGGCCTTATTTGGGTAGTTTCAAGTCTCACCAGCTAACTCTGCCTTCCAACACTTATCCTTCCCTTAATCTGTATTTATATAAAAGCAGGTCTTCTGTAATAAAATGTAACGGTCTAGTGAGAATCTCATCTCCATGTGTTAGGGTTGAGGGGGAAAAAAGGACAAGGAAAGGTTTTGGGGAGCATTGGGTTAAGTATCACAAAGCAATCAAAGGCCTATGGCAAGATAAATACTAACATCATGCAAATACTATTTTAAAAATGTCAGCACTGAATTTGTCTTTAGAAAGAGTGCTGTGGATTGCACAGCAACTCATCCAGGTATTGGACTGGTTTAAGACACAGGCAAATGTTTGGATCAAAACTCTTCCCTTCTGCGGAACAGTTTTCAAACATCTGCAATACTCACAATGAAAAAGCATTAGGGTTCGAGTGGACACTTCACTGCACAGCTGAATTTTTTACTGTAAAGCATCAGTGTGCAGGATTGGAATTTCTAAGGCAGAACACACATTTTCCTCAGAAGTGATGTTTGTCCACAGGCTCAGGGATGGTTTTGACCACAAGGGCGTTGGACTTACCCTACCAGCTTTCAGGTCCTCCTCAGTCCTGACTTTAGGACAGCTGCTTACACAAGGCTGGTTAATGGATCTTAAATCACAATGCATGGGTGTCCCTGTATCGATTTTCTGGAGTGCTTTACACCTGCAAGAAGTGATTCCATAGTTATGAATCTCTGGATCCATAAACATGATCATCTGTCTTTGAATCAGCTGTAGAGCAGAGCAATAGTGCCCATTTCAGAGCTCTTGCTGGCCTGTGGTTTTAGCAGTGAACTAGTGCCACACTTTGTGTGGGTGAGCTGTTCTTTGGGTTTTGTTTGGACTTCATAATCAATGTCTGTAAAAGAGGGAAGAGATGTGGAAAACCTATGGAATCAAAGGCTAGCAGACTAGATAAATCCAGAAATTATTATTTGGTTACTTCAGCTTTTTATTTTTAAGGAAGAAACCTCATGGAAAGCTCTCTCCTGCATTAAAGTGAGCTTTTCTGCAGTTTATTTCATTCACAAAGATTCTCTCTTCTCTAGAGAAGAGAAACTTAATTTTTGCAGAATATATTTGAGCACGCAGTCTCATCCTGTATTATCCTGTATTAGCTTCAAACAAAATTTAATACTTTCTCTAGAGAAGAGAAACTTAATTTTTGCAGGATATATTTGAGCATGCAGTCTCATCCTGTATTATCAGCTTCAAACAAAATTTAATACCTTGTGTTGGAGAGCACAGTTCAAATAAAATAAATTCCTGGAGAGATAATTTATGTTAAGAAATAATCCTGAAGGCCAGAGATTTTCTTTTTTTTTAACACACAAGGAAAAGAGGAACCATTGCAGGTAGAATGGCAGGAAAATATATGTATTTGCAGCCACACCTACAATTTTGTAACAAAGGGGAAGGTTTCTTCAAGTTTTAACAAGACCTTGCTTTCCTCATTCATTATTTTTTCCCAAATAGTTGCTCCAAGCTAACACACTGACTTCTTTAGCTTTCACTACATGAGCTCACAACCAGGCTACGAGGTTTTTTGCGCGCACACTTACGGTCCATCATTATGGAATGTCCCTGGTTGGGCAGGAGAGGTGCTCCATCACGAAGAGCCATTCATCAGCGCTGGCTCACACCTGACCCCTGCAGCAATAATGCCGCATCAAGTAGGCCAAGTACCGGCTTTGGCAGCAGAGCAGGGAGCAAGAGCCAGCCTCAAGATTAAGTGCGCTGCTTCAGGTTTGCATTCCCAGGAGCTAGGCGGGCTCACGCTGTATTGATTGCAGAAGTTTACCAGTAAGTATCACAAACAACAATAGCCAGGTCGATGATGGGCAGCGCCTGCTCGGCAGTCCCCCCGGAACGCCGCGCGCTCCGGCCCAGGCGCCGCGATCATGACGGCTGAGCGCGGGTGAGCAAGGGTGATGGGCGAGGGAAGAGTGAGAGCCTGCACCGCCAGATGACATTTAAGCTACTTACACGTGGGAGCACAGAGAGAGACAATGGTGCAATTATATTTCTCCAAGTTTCCAACTGCAGCAAAACCCTGTTGTCTCTCAGCGCCTGTGCGTTCAGGCAACTCCTCGCTTGTTGCAATAAATGGCTCTTCAGGAACAGAAGAACACACAAATGCAGGTATTAGTGAGTATAAACTATACTCAGCAAAATGTTTCCAAGTATCTGTCTCTCCTAGCAGCCACACAGGTTTGGCACCAGGATCTGGGGAAGAATCTGTTTATAAAATCGGTGTACATTTGCTTTGAAGACAGAAAACCTCACAGACTGGTCAAAACCCTGGCCAAACTTTTGAAATAAAATATTTGTTCTGATGCTATGATTAAATGGAAGCCTGTATTTAAATCACAGTAGGACTTAAATGAGAGAAGCCCTGAGAGTTGGACTTGATGATCCTTGTGTCCCTTCGAGCTCAAGATGTTCTATGGTTATATCAGATTAACATCACATTTATTAGCTATCCTCCCATGTGCAACCAAATCCCACAGCCCTACTGAAAATCCAGTTTTAATTTTTTACTGTGTATTACGTAAATGCCTACCTAAAAGCTCATACTTAGAAGTATGGAAGTTATACTGAAATCTTATTTGATATCAATGTTAATGAAACATCAATTTAGAATGATGTTGTAGGAATTGACAGAAATTCCAAAGCCCACCTAGGACTAAAACATGTGTTTTAATTATTCTGAAAGTTTAATTTGCTCTTAAGGTGCTTTGTCTATATGAAAATTGAAACATTACAAATAAAAGGCAGTAAGATTGAAGTTAAATTGTCAATACACTTAAGTTATAGTTTCCAACCTTTCAGTTAATGGAGACTCTAAGGCAGGGTTATAGGGTTTAACTGCAGTATATTCTTTTCTTCTACCTGAAAATGAAGACAAAATAATTCTCCATATGCCTCTACTAGAAAAAATTAATAATACCTGAACAAACATACTCCTTTTTCTCTTTATATAGTAATCTTGGATGTCCAAAACTATTTCAGTACCATGCAAACAAATGTCGTTTATCAAATTGCAGCATAGTGGCCATAATGATGCTTTAATTGTTCAGAAAAATATTATTAGTGTCATTGCAAGTCTATGAAATTACTGAAAGAGTCAATGTATTTGATATAAATATTTTTAACTACTGCTGTAACTCAAACTCCATTCCAGTTTTTACTTTGGAGACCATATTTTTTTACTATACTAGTTCAATTGCATTCAAAAATAATTGAATTAGAAGAAAAAATTCTATGGAACTTGTATTTTTTTCTGTGAGTATACTGGAGTAGTTCTAAAGGACAAGTTAGGTGGGTGAAATAAAGAAGAAAACACTTCTGTCTTGATGAAATTAAAAAAACCAAAACAAAAGCTTTTTGTTTTTCTTTAAAAGATGAAGGTATGTACTCCAATAAGACAGAGGGTAAGAACATCCCTGATAGCTCAATCTATTCTGAGCTAATGTAAGAATTTGGTTACAAGCTTGCCAATTAATTATGTTATTTGACACTTGGGACCAGTTGAAGTCTTGCTGATGTGATTAAACATTTTTTATCTGCTCTGTGGAAACATTTATGCTGAAGTACTTATAATGATTTCAGTTTAAAAATTATTGTTACATAAATTTGATAAGAGGAAAACAAAAATGTGGAAATTACTTCAGGCTATAGACAACAGAAGAATCCAAGTGCCACAGTAGGCAGCCCATCTCATCTATATCCTTGCAATTAATAGGAAAGAAGTCTCATTCCACGATCTTTGTTTCATCTCTGCTGGTGGAAGTGCTTAGCAAGCACATTATAACCCACAGGTTTCCATTAGGCCAGCACACAGCACCAGTACTTTATGAATAACACAGACCCTGCAACTGTAACAGGGGAATAGCATAACAGCCTGGAAAAAACTCACAGAAATGGTTTTTAAAGTGCCATTGGGCACAGGTCTTCCTTCACCAGCACCCCCTCAGAGCCATGCTGTAGCAGCAGGGGAGGGTTGTTCTTGTGGCACCTTTCCACATCCCCAACATATCACAGTTTGAGCTGGGATTGTCTTTCATGAGACAAAACCATGTGATTCCATCAGTGCCGCCCACCCAAGGCAGTAGGAACATACAAGTGTTACTTTCTCATCCTTCTTTCTGCTTATAGGTGACAACCATACATCTCCTTCCTCTAAACTGAGTGTTGTTACCTGACAGAAGTAATTAAAACAAATAAAGAGAAGAATTTGTGTCTGGCTGTAGCAGGTCACTAGCCTTGACAGGGTTTGCTTGTGACAGCACCAAAGCAGTGCTTGGTGCCACTGGACTGTAGGCAGAAAGTAAGCGGCGATTGAAGGGAAAAAACAAGAAGAAATAAATAAAAGAAGAATTTTTGCCTTTTAACCACTCAAGATAAAATAAAGTCTCTTTGTCATAGTCAGTTTATCATATTAAGCCTGAACTAATATTTTCTAATCATAGTGACCTCATCCTGCCAGAATGCACCGGCCCCTAATCCTCGCTGTAATGTTTTCTCATTAGCTGCTCAGCATTGGCCACACTGGTTGTAGCAGCTAAGCACTGCCTCAGGCACCACTGGAATTAATTACCAGAAGAAACACTGCTGTTTTGAATTGTCATCTTGAATTTATCACTTGCCACTTAATGTAACTCATCTGACCTAATAGCGGCTCGGTGTCCCGGCGGAGGAGCGCGGGGAGCGGCGGGTCCCAGCTGCCCGGGAGCCCGGCGGGCAGCTGCTCCCGGCCCGCCGCGATCCTGCCCCGCAGGCACAGCGCCATAACGATGCCCCCAGCAAATTGCAGATGACCCGCGGCCCTCTCGGCTGCCGAGCTCCGGGGGGCTCGCAGGGAGCTCCCGCACGCCGCCGGCCCCGCTCGGGGACAGCGATGCTCCTGTCGCGGCGCGGGGACGTCGCGCACCGCACGTTTCCAAAATGTAATCAAAGTGGCTGCTCGCATACAGACGGGAAAATGGCTGCAGGGGAGCTCACAGAACCAGACCTATAGCATTTTCTCCCAATTTGTGAAGAAATTGCTCGTTGAAACAGAATGGAGGTCAGCAATACAGGTATGAACTGCCTCTACATCCTTGCCCCCACACAGAGTTTCCATGTGTGGCAAGATGAAGGGTCTTCCTAAGGTTTGCAATCTTAAAAGTCCAGAGTAAATGCATTATTTTGCTTAAGGTAAAGACATTTCTCCAAGTTTTGCTGGGCACACACTCTCATCCCCAAGCCTAAATTTTATTTGTGAAGAACTTATAATTGCGGTGGACTCATTTCACCACTTTCTGACAAAAATAGGAATAGCCAGAGTACCCAAATTTCTGCTCAAAGCTGAGAATTTGCAAGCTCCATTGGAGTGCTTAACTCCATAAAAGATGTAATTTTACTATTGGTGGAAACAGGGATGACTCAGTGTAATAAGCCAAGACTATCCTACAGATAACATAAATATTAAAAAAACTGCCTTTTAGTAGGCTTCTAACAATAACAATTCCGAACACGTTTCCTAGGCAAAAAGGTTTCCTCTTGTTACCACCCTGTATACTCATCACAGTAAACTTAGAGAGATGTATAATGTGATATAAACATTAATAGTTTCACAATTGTGTTTTAGAAAGACTATTTATAGAGAAAACACAAAATGCCTCCCAAAAGTATACTTAGACGTAAGCCACCATAATCTTCTTGCTCATGCAGCAGGAAATCTAATACACCAGCTCAATAAACCTGTAGGAAACAAAGGTTTTATGTAGCATTAAGAGTCACAATATTAAAATACCACATAATACATTCAACTACTCTTACAACACTCATTTTAAGAGCCAAGAAAATTAAGTGCCAGTTTGAGAGTAATAATATCAGAACATGCAGAATGAGACTGGAGAAGCACAAAACTAAGAGGACCCCTCATGATATATTTGATGCTTGAATCAGACCCAAATATTTGATAGCAGTGACATTCTGGGTTACCAGCAAATACTGCCCCAACACATCAGTATTTTCTAGAATGTGCTGGAAAATGGAAATTCTCATCAGCTGACTTAAAGATGTTATTTCAAAATGTATGCTTTACCCTCTTTATTGTTAAGAACAATAAAATCATTATCATGGATGTGTCAGTCAAAATCCATGTTCAAATACAGGTACATGAGAAAATACATATATGGGCTTACGAGACTACATTAAATAGGGTATAGAGATCACTGACCTTGTGCTGGAATAATCTAGAAAATTCAGTGATTTAATCATATCAGGTCCTTTCACAAAACAATGTATTATTATTTTCTGAAGGTGTTTAAATGTTAACCTGGTAACTACTCCTCAGATTTTCAGTATAGGCAATGCTTTGTAGGATTCAACTCCTGGACACATGGCTCTAGAACTGAAGACAAGACCAAGAACTAAGAGTCTCTACGTTTCCCATTCCCAGAATCCAAAGTCTTTGCTTCACTTCCAGCTAGCAGCAAAAGATGTAACCTGTTAACATTTTTAGACACCACAAAAAGCCTAACATTTTACATTTGTTTGTAAGTTCACAGCTGGATACTCAGTGGGTTAGGTTTGAGGAAAACTGGTAGATGGAGAAGAAAATAATGTTTTCCAGCCATTCATGCTTTGGAAATGGTTGCTGGATGAACAGAGTTTGGAATGTTTTGGTAAAAGGGATTAGTAGATGAGGAATGAGTGTGGTGATCAAGATATGTTTATCATATAATTCACACTTGCATATATTGTTTATGCACTTATCTAGTTATAAGCAATATTATTTTTATCAAGTCATAGGAAGACTTCAAACCCCTTTAAGAGCATGAAATTATTTTTTTTTTTTAAATAGCATATCCAATTGTAACTCCAAGCAAAACTTAGATAAACACATCATTGAATAACACAGTCTTCACAGTGGTGGTATAAGTATTCTGAGCTTACATTAATATCATACATCTGAAAAAATGACCTTAGGTGTGCATTTGTGGAACATAAGTGTTTATTTCACCCTATTCTTTAGTTATAAAAACCCATATTATAAACTGGAGGAAACATGAGCTGGCATAAAAAGATTCCTTACTAGAGTAAAATATTGTAAAAGCAAATTGTGTCTATTTGGTTTTGGGAGACTAAGTTTATGCAAGCAATTGTCATGCAAGCAGAGTTGGGAGTAATAATGTGGCCTTTAATGACGGAATGATGGACCTGCCAAACACTAGCTCCTGCCATAGACTGCTTGTATTTCCCTGCACAAAGATGCCCATCTGGGAGTTATTAACATATTCTCGTCAATTCAGAACCTGCTTTAACATAATCCATATTTGTTGGAGAAAGTCCAACATCAGCCAGAGAACAGTGGGCACGTGATCTGATGACACATTTCAAGCAGCACACATAAAGCATGCTTGGGCAGCTAAGCAATTCAGAAATGCAAATAGCAAAAAACATTTCTCTTCCTAGATAAAAAGGACAAATCCCTTCTGGCATAACACCTTCTACACTTTTGATACTGAATGGAAACAACAGAGGTAGGAAAGGGACAGGTAGGAGTTTTTCATTCCGTTCCAAGCACACTGACACAGCCCTGCACAGAAGCTGCTGCTTTCAATATCCAGCAAATGCGCTGATGCATGGGGGCAGTGAGAGAGAATACAAATTCTCTGCCACCAGCAGTACCTTACACTTGTTTTATGGTACTTATGGAAATGAGCATCGTTTATTTAAAGGGATCAGAACTCATCATCAAAGAAACCCTTCATTAGAAAATTATTTGGTCCTACAGGTCAGTCTACTCTTGGAAGCTGATGTTTTCATAGAACTAGAATTTCATTGCTCTTTATAATTTGGGGAGATTCACTATGCCTAAAGTTTTCTGAAGTTTGGCATTT